CGAGTGCTTACCCATTCACACCGCCCGGGACTCCTGTGTAAACATTTGTTACTTTTTGTTATAGAGCTGCAACACTGAGGGGTACCTGCTTTGGCGGTGCAGGCTCGGGGGGGGGGGGCGGCCTACTTTGGAGAACGGGGAGACTTCCCAGGGGAACTGGTGATGGCGCTGGGCTCCACTGAAGGAGTAGCAAGGAGAGGGGATGATCTGATCGTGGGCACCACAGGCACTGACCACCCCAGCTGTGGGCATCACGGGCTCTGACGTGGGGCTGCTCTGGCCGCAGGCACCATGCGCCCCGACAGAGACGCTGTCCTTGAGGAGCCTGTGATCTGGATCAGCGACGATGAGACAGACACAGAGACCACCTTCGAGAATTCGGTCATGGTGATTGAGCCCTCCGGTACGTGGTACAGTTCTCTCCCCTTCCCGGCGAGGGCCACCTGGGCTTTAGCAGTTGACCGTCAAGATTGTGCTCCTGGGGGGCTGGGCTGTGCTTTCTGGACAGGGTTATGTGTCTGTAAGAATGGCGTTGGGGAGGCGTCTGGCCTCCTCTAACTTCACCTTAAGCATTAACAGCCCAAGGCTGATTGCTATGAGGTGGAGATCAGATATATCTCGTCTCCAACCTTTTTACCAATTCCAACACCAGGCTTCCCTCCCACAGCACTCTCTACTTCTCTTTTAGGTTCAGTAATTCATTGCAATGGCCACACAGGACTCACAGACAGTACTCACAATTATAGGGTTTATTAGGGAAGTAACGTGTTACAATTCAGGATCAGAAACTACTCAGGATAAAGTTCTGCAATCAGGACAGCTTCTTCTCAGCCGTGCCCACAGGCAGGCCTCTCACCCCTTTGCCCCTCAGACCTCTTGTGCCAGCCCAGCCTCTGCCCTGCTTGGGCAAGCGTTACAAAGCTCTTTAGCTCCACCGATAAGTGCCCACAGGCACCCTGCTCTGCCAGTAAGGCTCAGCCCGAAGACACACCGCTCTCTCGCTCCATAGTTCCGCAGGCCTAGCTCCGCCAAGTGCCTGGAGGCACCCCATTCCGCCAATAAGCCTCCTGCTCAAAGGCGCTCAGCTTTCTCGCTCTGTGGGCCAGGAAGCCACTGCACTGTTTCCTGCCGATCCCCTCGTTCTGCTGCCACCATTTCTGCTGCTGCATCTCGCCGTCTCTGGTGTTACAGTTCTCTCTCTCTGTCTCCTGGGTCTAGGAGGTTCTCAGCACAGGGATCCCGGGTCCAAAGGACGCGCTCCACTCCTAGCTCATCTTTCTTGGTAACAGTAGCTCCCCCCCCTACTCTTTGCTTGCTTTTCTCTCCTTTTGTCTCTTGTAAGATAAAAGGTGTGATTCAACTAAGGGCGTGGCTTGAATAAAGGTGGTAGGGGTGGTGACTGAGGGTGAGGGTGGTGCCTTGAGTCACACTGTCTAGTAAGGCAGTGACTCAAGGTACATCCCACCCTAATCCAGCCGTGTTAACATAACAGACAGCTCAGTCCCCAATGGGACCATGATCATAGGCATAGAGGCTAGAATTTATGACATCACAAAGTGGAGAGTGAGTACGTTATTACATAATCTCCAAATTATGTCATTACATAACTGCTAAGTGTGACCCAGCCAAGCTGACGCATACCTTAACTATCACAGGTACCATACGCCCTGTTTGCACGGTCCCACCCAGTCACTGTGTAGAAGTCACAGAGACTATGGCCAGAAGGGCCATATTGAGTAATTCACTGCACCACAGTGCCTTTCACGCGGGATGTGAACTGTCAGTGACCCCAGAACCCATGTCCCAAAACATGGCTCTGTATCCACACAGCTGCTTCGGCCGAGCCGTGTTCTGCTGGGTTGGAGGCGGGGTGGGGCTGCTAGGAAGGCAGGTGAAGGCCCCTCGGGAATCCCACAGAAACAGCCAGTGAGCACGTTCAGAAAGCCAGGTCACATCGCTGACTTAGGAGGGTGCTGAGGACACAGGTGGCTAGGGTGGGGGCACTCGGCCACTTGGGAGGGCTTCCTCGGGAGGCTTCCTCGGGGGTCGCGGGGCCTGGCGCTCTCACAGTCCTCTGAGAACGTGGGTCTTCAGGTTGCTGCGCGGCAGGAGCCAGGGTACGGGGGGCCTGGGCAGGAGGTGAGGCGCCGTGTGGCGGTGCTCCTCCCCCAGTGGCTGAGCTGCACCTGGAGGAGAGGGCATCTGAAGAGGCCGTGGGCGAGGACTCGGATCTGGTGGTGACTTTCTGCAGGAGAGGCAGCGTGATGCCCCACGCGCGATATGACTGCCCCACACGCCCATTCGAGTACGTGTGTCCCCACGACCGGAGGGCACCCTCTCCCGGGCGGGTAGCCTGGTGAGGCAGAGGGATGCACATAGGGGTTTCATCCTCGAGGCGGCTTGGCAGCAGCATGTCGGATTCTCGTGGGGGGACCTGCTTGCGTATGGAACACCGACCCCCCACCAGGCTGGGGCCTAGGGACGGGTCTACCTGAGCCTCCCCCTCTGCCTGCACCTGGCCGCCCGTGGGAGGGTGCGCTGGCCCTGCCGGTGTGACCGGCCCCCGGCCTGTGTGCTCTGCGCCTCCCCTGTGGTGTCTTTTGTGGGGTTCCTTGTTCCAGACGTTTCTAAGTTGAAAATGTTTTCTTTTCTACGAACATTTATAGTTTTACAGAAAATTCTCAACATTTTTACTGTATTTAGTGTTTTTGGAAACGTAGGGGCTATCAGCCTGAGTCCTATGAGTCATTGTGATAGAGAAATTTAATAATGACGTTTATTGAATTGGGATTTCCTACCAAAATTCCTTTCTTGGGGGGAAAATATGTAAAAATCACCAACCTGGACCATGCCGATCGTACGTGGCTTCACTGGTTGTGCTCTCACCTCTCAGACGCACCGAGAACGAGTCGTCACTTCCCGTTGGCCTGAATTCTGAGACATGCGTTCAGTGCTACTGCTATGTCTGTGATAAGCTCGCGTCTGAGGTGAGGCGCCTGCAGGGCCGGCAGGGAGGGCTGCGGGGGCCTCAGGGCCGGCGGGGGAGCTGCGGGCTCTCAGGGCCGGCGGGGGAGCTGCGGGCTCTCAGGGCCGGCGGGGGAGCTGCGGGCTCT